CTGACTGGCCTATAGCTGGGCAGGAAGAGATTGGGTGGGAGAGCCAGACTAGGAGGATGCTGGGAAGAAGAAGGGTGGAGTCAGGAGATGCCAGGAGATGCAGAGGAAGTGGGAAGTGTAGAAAACGAGGTAGCAATCCCGGGAGCCATGAGGCAGAGGAGAGACACGAAGCATGGGTTAACTGAAATGTAAGAGTTCATCAGTAACAAGCCTGAGCTTTCGGCCAAGCATTTACAATTAATATTAAGCCTCTGTGTGCTTACTTGGGAGCGGCTTGTGGGGCAGAAACTTCTGCCAACAATTCCCTAAACATTTTCCATATGAACCAAAGAGAACCTCTCCACTGAATCTTGAATAACACGGCAAAGAGAGAATGAGAACCCCTGAAAACCACATGAGTTACCACTCGGAAGGAGCAGGGTTAGAGATGGGCTGTCCTGAAATGGATTGCTCCTCTTGAAGCCTTTGGGGAATTGGGTGGCCCGGATCCTGAGCTCCACTTAACCTCTGGAAAAAAATGGGTGTGGCAAACAAAGGTGGCCCCAAGGATGTCTTTGATGGCGATTTGCAGATTGTAGAGGTCCAAGGGTCCAGCAGATGGACAGAAAGCTAAAAGCCTGCTTTGATTTTTTTTTTAAATAGAAGGTCTCTTTATATAGTCCTGGCTGTCCCAGAACTGGCCGTGTAGAATAGGTTGGTCTCAAACTGACGGAGCTCTTCCTGCCTCTACCTCCCAAGGGCTAGGAATAAAGACATGTGTCACCACAGCAGCTACTAGGAAGCTATTTGATTTGAGAAACTGAAATAAAAGCCTCCTTTCCAAGGAGACTCACATGCTTAAGTCATTCCCACAACAGAGAACAAACAGCTTGAGAACCCTCAGTTCTTTGGATAAATAGGAGGTTAGGTGCTCAGAGGAAGAGCCTGTGACCCCATCATAAATATTTAAGAGAATCTTACTTTCATTTCTGAAAGAGCCTTGCAGCTGTTTATAGGGGTCAGCTTTTTCTGAGAGAAAAAATTTTATCCCAGGTTTTAGGGCTTTGACACTGACTTTGAGGTAATCAGCAATTCCCAGGAGCATAACACACTACTGTGGTCCAATCAGTTCTATTTTTACTGAAGGTTGGCTCCCTGTGGCTCACACTTAACCTCTGTTATTTCCTTAGTCTGCAGTGTATAGTGGAATAGAAGGGCTCAGCCCCCAGGAGAACCTCATCTGAGGACCCATAACCTGAGGGTGCTATTGCAGGAAAAGCCAAATGGAAGCTCCCAGAGCTGCCCTCCCTGCCAGAGAGTCAAAGGAAAGCAGAAACATTTTCCCAAGGGAACGGCAGGGATTTGTGTCGTCATCAGAGACTGGAAATACACAAGGATGGTTATACTTCTATCACCATCTTGGCGCAGACGACCACAAGCTTAGTCAGGAAGAGATTCCTATTGCACTGATTCGATTTACTTACTGCAACAGATCAGCATGGACTCCGGCCCCTCAGGGGCAGCTACTTATTGAGAAGATGCATTAGTCTACCTCAGTGAAAACACTGATCACGAAGCAGTTTGCCTTGACCTTACAAGACACCACAAGCTGTCCACCTTCACTGCTGTGTTCCAAGGTTATGTCCGATGCTCTTTCTCCGCCACGATTGGGTACAGAGGATTGTACCCAATACCACGATTGGTCATCTCGTCTCACCATCTCAAGTGATTTTATTTTAGTTTGTCACATCGATGGCAAGTTGGAGTGTCTGGAGAGTAGAGGAACCTACACACTTATGCCTTGATGAGCAGCATGAGAGGGTCCTGACACCTGAGGTAAGCTCTGAAGTGTGAGTGGGAAATCCCTCCCCCAAATGATATTTTGGTCTACAACAATCTGCCTACGCCTACGTAGCAAGGGCGTATATGACGCAAGCTTCTCCTGTGGTTCAGGGACAAACCATGAGCTGTTGCTTGCCTAAGACACATAAACTGAGGCCCATGTGTGCCTGGCATGATTGTCCTATCAGGATTGGTGTAATTTCAAGGGAGCCTTCTAGCATTAGTTCAATATGTGGGAATGTGTAGGAACTGGTTAGAAGAGATGGCAACCAGGGCTACTTAAGCTGTGCTGGGTCATCCAGGGGACGTCTTTTCAAGTGTCATCTAATCTGGGTGGACTTTTAGATTACCAGATAAACATATTTGGGGGGCTCAAGCATAATAACCCAAAGCCACTTTCCCTGTCAGCATTCATTTGCCTTCAGTAGGCCTAGCAAAGCAAAGTCGTCTTGGTGCATTGGTTAGGAACTCATATTTGCAGCAAGAGGAATTCAAGTTCAAATCAGGACAGGACACTATATCAGCTCCCTATTGCCACCATAACAAGCTGCTAACAAACTTGGCTTAAGACAATACAAATTTGGCAGGACAGTGTTCCTTATGGAGACTCCGGGGGAATTTCATTTCTTGGCCTCACCAGCTTCTAGATGCTGTCCACTGTATAAACTGACAACATCACGGCTCTATGGTATGGTTAAGGGAAGGTTTTTATTGTAGATATGAGGGAGAGTACATCCAGGGGCATCTGGAAGAGTCCAGAGAAGAGAGAGACTATATTGGACTAAACATGGCCAGAAGACTGGGCCTGGCCAGGAGAGAGGGAGGATCGGGGTGGCCGTAGGGGATAAAGACAGAGAGAGGACCAAGAGAAGACAGAGCATAGCCAAACTAGCAGGGTTATAAGGAGAAATGAGTAGCTGGCAGTGGTGGCGGTGGGGGAATTTCCTCCACGAGAGGAAATTTCGGGGTGGTGATGAGAAAAGCTGAGAGGAGCCAGGATGCCAGCATGAAGTCTGAAACGTGTAACAGGTCCTTGTGGAACTGAGGGACCCCGGGGGCCAGCATGGGCTTTGGTATCTAATAGGAACCCCAGATAACCATCTGTCCCTTCTGCTACTGATAAAGGAAGTGTCTCCTTCAGTAGAGGGGAACCAGCTTCACAAGTTCCTTGGGAAATGCTGGCTTTTGTCTAACAGGCAGAATCTGGGAAAACGGAGTTTCCTTTGGACCCAACACCCAGGTCCCTGTGACCACAACCCTTTCCCACGGTCAAAGCCAGATCTTTGCATCTATTTGACCCTTCCTTCTCATCTCCATCTCCCTCTCCCTCTGAAAGGATATGGTGGCTCACCCTGAATGCACTAAGATTATCTGGAACATTCTCCTGATTGGGAGGTCAGGTGCAATCTTCCCCTTTGCCATGGAATCCAACATGGGTTTTGGGTCATCAGAGGGAGGCTTTGTCTTGCTTACCACAAGCACTAAATAGGTATAATACTTCAGGCAAATTACTTAACTCCTTACTCCTTAAGCCCTTCTTTTGTAAAGTGGGGATGATAGATGACATTCATGAAGTAAGATAGGAATTGCTGGAAGCAAATGTACCTCACAAATGGAGCTCAGTGTCCAACACACACTGAACAATCCTCACAGTGTTCTCTCTTCATCCTTATAAATAAACAATTACTGATGCAGAACTCCCACACTTGTGCCCTAGACCATGAGGCCCTCAAATGATGCTTCCAGGCATCCCAGCCAGCGACAGAGACAGCGAAGCCTCACTAGTCTGGTTTCCATACCTCCCGCTTGCCTTGAGCCTGGCTGACACATGCCCTCCTTGTGATGGATGTCACACTCAACAGCGACAAGCATTTGGGCACTTGGCGGAGATTGTCCTGGGAAGGAAGCGTTCTTGTTGTCATAAGGACAAATGACTCAGTGAATATGAGCCTGGCAAACAGCTCCTGCTTCTATGAACGGCCACGGACACCCCAAAGAAACCATCGGGTACCAACACTGGCTTGAGACACGAACAAGCGTATGGTGACGTGTACTGTTTCAGGTACCCCCACCTTCTTGGGGTCACTGGTTGCTTCTGACTTTAGCTAGTAGGAGTATGACCCCAGTCTTCTGGGTCACCTGGGTAAATCTCTGTATCATCTTGGCCTGACGCCCTGATTTCTGTTCCCCGAATCCCTCTTTTATGCCACACTGTTGCTACAGGCTTCTAGACTAACAGAATGGCCTTATGGGAGGGAAGTGGGCCATTTGGGTTTCACTTCCTCATCCAACTGACCCCTGTCTCTGCTCACGTGTCCAGACTCAACACAGAGCAGTCCCTGTCACACTCTTAGGCAGAGTCTCCCCCTTCTCCTAGGCTTCCTGTCACGTCCACCTGCTTGGACCGTTGCTGTATTTGTTCTTGGGCAGTTGTATGTCCTTGGATTCTTAGTTTCTCTTAATTTGGGCTGACGTGAGTTAGTGAAAAGATAAGGTTGAAGAGGTTGATAAATGTCTCTTTCAACAGTCTCCTGGGGCTAAACTTTCCACCTACTGAGAGAGAGCACTTGGAAGTCACATGGGCACTTTGGTGTCTTGTAGTGCCATAGGGGAGCCTCTGGCATTCTATAGGTGGGGACAGTCATCCTAATATTTTCACCAGAGCTTTCCCATTGAAAATACCAACAGCTTCCATCCAAAGACACTGCTCTAACTGGATCAGCATTCTTTGCAGAGTTAGAGGTACCGGATGGAAGATCCTTGGATAACAAAAATCAGGCAAGTTACCTTTTATGTGCTTTTGCTGTTTCTTTGAGTGTGTGTGTGTAGCATATCTGTGTGTATGTATAACATATACAGTATGTACATGTCCGTGAAGGGTTGAACACCTTTCAACAAGATGTCTAATCTCACTGAACCTTATCTGATTCTTCTGTAAAGGAGGAGTGATGCCCCAATTCCCCCAACTCACTGAGTAATGAGAGGTATAAAGGACTTCCCACAGTGCCTGGCTCACAGTAACTGCTAATAAACAGTAGCTATTACTAGTGGTGATGACGAGCCTCCAGTGCTGGCCATGCTGGAGCTCCCAGAGGGAACGGATTTTCTCTCATGGCTCACCCTCTTTCATTTGCTACCCAGTATGGAACTAGGTGTCATTTAAAACCCACCAGTATGTGGCAGGCCACAGTGAGGTGCCATCAAACATCAGGAGAGGCCCAGTCCTAAAGCCGTATCCGGTCATGCCTGCTTGCCAGGAAGGAGGATCAGAGCGCTGGCTGGATCATCCCTGGATTGGCTAGAGTGGAATTGCCCCAGAGGGTCTCATCTTGTTCAGCTGAGGAGGCCAGTGTTAAACTTTGGCATGCATTAGTTACCTGGAAGGCAGGTTAGGACTTGTGTTGTCCTAACACAATGTTTAGCATTTCTGCTTAGCGTGTGTGAGATAGGGCGTTTGCAACATTCTCCATAGCTGTCGTTCTTCCCAGGAAGCTCTGTGGACCCAGTGAGGATGGAAACACACCCCGGTCAACACTCATGCGGGGATGGCGTGGGAGAAAATATTGATGCTGTCAGCCTGGAGTTAATATATTTTGAGAACCACTGAGTTGGAGAAATGAGAAGGACATAACTGGATCTATCTGGATCTTTGTAGTGAGTTCTCTTTTTCCAGAGAGTATCTGTTATTTCTGTCCTCTAAAAAGTGCTTTGTGGCCTCTGCTGCTGAGCCTTACCGTTAAGAGACGTAAGTTGAAGATGGCTGTCAGATACACTTAGAGACATAGTTCAAACTTTGTTGAGGAAGCAGGCCTTTATCCATGGCTGTTTCTGTCCTCTCAGGGTCAGGCAGAGTGACTTCATAGTTACACTCAAATACCTTCCAAGGTGGAGTCAAGGCTACAGAGCTTGCTGGCATTCTGGGGTAACTTGACACTAGTCTCAAGTTGAAGAATACACCTGTCTTCCATGGTGGCTACTGGCAGGACAAAGTGGCCTTTGCTGACTGTGTGAAGGGCCAGGCACTGCTGAGGTCTAGGCTTGGCCACTGGTAGATGCTCGGCTCCCTCTGGGTGACAGTCTTCCTTGTTTGACAGCTGTCAGCTCGGCATCAGATTTCAAGGTTGTTTTGATTTCCCGTGCCTGTGTGACCTCTGGTCCCAGGTTGATCACCAGCGAGCCTGTCATTTCTGGCTCTTCCCCAGTGAGACAGCAGAGCCTGTCTTGCTTGCGAATCCCTCCTCCACCGGCCCACCCTTTTGGCCTGTGAGCTAATCAGCTTTCAAGGACTGTGGTGTTTTTCCATAAACCTCTTCTGTGCCTCATTGTCCATATTAATGCCCTTCAGAGACAGCACTGAAGAAGAGCTGTGTGACGCTCCAGTCATGCCAGGGGTGAGGCATAAAGCAGAGCTATGGGATAAAGCACCCTCTAACTTGAGGGAGGCCCCCTGGAGCCCTGGACACAGCCTGTCAATCAGGAGGACAGAGGGCTGTACCTCTGGCAGGATTCTGTTCTGTCAATCACAGGGAAGTTGCTCTCATTTTTCTTACCAGGGCCAGAGTCCGCAGGGACAAAACAGCATAGGAGACAAAGAAGTTTGATTTCGTGTCAATTGCAACTAATTGGGAGCAGCTGCAGGGAGTTCCAGGTTCAAAGGCACACTTTGAAGTCAGAGAAAGGAAAGCGGGCCTGATCTTGTATTTGTGTCTGGCAGAGTAGCCTTCGGTGGCCATTGTCATGGTTACTCACTTCTGTTTTCAGCCTGGGAAATCAAGTCCCGGTAATGTGAATAGGCCTTTATCGGGTCAAATAACCCGTTGGTAGTAAACGTAACAATGGAACTCAAATTATCCAACATTATCACTTCAGTACATTCCCAACCTCTTAGGAAGAGAAGTGGTGGAAACGAGACAAGTTCAAATCCCCGAGTCCATGATTACCCACTGTGAGGCCCTGGGCGCCACTTAGAATTTCCGTGAATCAGTTTCCTTACATGTAAAATGGAATAGAAATATCCAGGCCATTGCTGGGAGCTTGCAAATGGTCATGGCATGTGGCTGAGGGCCTTGTACAGTTGTGCTCAGTAGCTTTCCTTTGTGCATTATTTGGATGCCCATTTTTGGAGGCACTTTAAGTATCAGTGGTGATTTGCTTGGACAGATCTGCTTTCTTTGCCTGGGAGCTGAAGATTTGGCATTAGATGACCTTGGAGCTTTCTCCAGCTCTAAAATCCTGCCTGTTTGTTTGCGTGGCTCGGGATAAAACCCAGGGCCTTGTGCATGTCGTGAAATTGCTTGGTCTCTAAGCTTCATCCCCAGACCTTAGCTCAAAAATCTCTGTGATTGCAACGACTCTCGGGACTTTTCTTCAGCTGCTTCTATGAGCTGGTATTTTGGAAATTAGCCCTGGGAGGCCTTCTGGAGCCTGACCAAGGTCATTGCAGGTGTAATGCATTCTGATCCGCATGTAGGAATTCATAGCATGAGACACCAGTGCACCGCTATTGCATGATGGGATAGATTTCCTTAACCTTTCAAGGGCAGGGACTGATCAGAGTCACCACAGTGTCCCAGCACCCTGTACAGGGTGTCACACGTAAAGGTGATGGGCTCTACTCCCAGGGCTTGAGGAGAGATGTCCGGGGTTTATTCAGCTCAGAGAGCTGACTTTTGCAGGGGTGCATACCTGGGTTGGCTCGTGACTTGACTTCCAGGCATTCAATGGGGAAACAGTGAAATGAGCCTCTGTCCTTGACGCAATAGCTAAATGGGCGAACAGGCAAGGTTCCCATCTATACGGTGGGGCTGGAATGAGCTGTAACACATCAGCACAACTAGCCGAACAGCTGAATAGCTGTGTCTCCTCTGAAAGCCACTCCAGGCCCAGGTTAACTAGAACATTCTGCCCATAGGGGGGAGGGAATGAGGAGATGGGGTAAGCAGGACCCAGGAGCATGACACAGGAGAGATTTATAAATAGGAACATGGAAACTTGCAGGAGAAGCCAAGCAAGGCAAAGGAGAATGGGCGAGTCTCAGAGAGACCATTTTGAGATGCAAACAGCTCAGCTAAGCAAACAGAAGCCAGATTTCTTGGAGGGCCATTATGTAACGGCTTCCCCAGATTAGGCTGGAAGAATTGGATGGAAGCTGTGCTGCGGGGAGAAGCATCCACAGGAGGGGAGACAAGCTCTGGTTCAGTCTCTATCCAGACAGCATGCTAACTCCATGTTCATCGGACTCCGCCCTAAGTGTAGGGGTCACAACGGTAATTAAGGCTCCGTCTCTATGACCAGGGAGGAAGACACACAAGCTCACAGGATTATGTGACACCTCAGAAGCTGTTTTGTATTGTGTTATGCTTTTCCCCACGAATGGACAGCTTCTCCACCCGGACCACTTCCATTCCTCCTTGAGAACATACTGTCCTTGTTTTGGGTGTATTGGTTTCGATCCCAGTCCTACTCTGGATAAGGAACGTCTGTTTCCCTAATGGGCCATCTCCAAAGGCACAGCCATGGGAATGTCTCTCTGGGATTCCTCCATAAGAACTCATGAAGGAAAGGCCATTTCTTCCTGAAAGTGAAACTCTGCTGGAGTGAGATTGTTAGACCCCCCAGAAAACTCAGGCTTCCAGGG